ATCTATCTATCTATCTATCTATCTATCTATCTATCTATCTATCTATCTATCTATCTATCTATCTATCTATCTATCCCACAACCCACATTATAGCAGAAAAGTGACAAACCCATGTCCAAAGTCAACCCTAACTTGAAGGCACCATTAAAAAAAGGCTGTTGTAATAAATGTAACAAGTCATAAAATAATTTATTACTACAAAGTACTGTCCCCATTGTAAGAAACTGATGGAGATAATATTGCTTTTGCAAAGAAAGCAATTAAAGAGATGTTGGTATAAAAGTTCAGTAGGGCATTGGGACATTAAAGGTAAAAAGTTGAAGACCGGGAAACAGAAGAGAGTGCTATTCCGATAAGTGAGTCAGCTTGGCCAAGCAAATTAGTTAACAGTTTTAACCACACAGTCTAGTAATATCGTGGAGAAATTAATTAATCACTTGCTTCAATTTATTATGCTTTAAGGAAACAACCCTGTGATCTTTGTCAAAGGAGGCTGCAGGGAGGGATTTGTGGTTTGGATGGAGGGAATAAAAAGTTGAAGAAATGTATTCTTCAGTGTGCCTACTTGCTAGCCACCCAGAGGTGGTCTTCAGCAGGTTCTGACCAGTTCTGGAGAACCAGTAGCAGAAATTTTGAGTAGTTCGGAGAACCAGCAATTACCATCTCTGACTGGCCCTGCCCTCATCTATCCTCTGCCTCCCGAGTCGCAGCTGATCAGGTGGATCTTCTTTTGTTGCCCTGCACTGGAGAACGGAGCTGGAAAGCAGGTTAGGGGGATGGGAATAGGGATTTTGCAGTAACTTTCCCCCAGAACTGGTAGTAAAAAATTTTTTGAATCCCACCACTGTAGCCACCCGTTCTTGCAAGAATGTATTTTACATGCAATAAACTGCTTGCTGCTTCACTTCATGACTCTCACATTTCTGATTGGTGAGTCTGTTTCTCACACCACTAAGCCTATTTAATGTTACCTGTAGTGGGGAGCCCATTTCCAAGCCAAACATTGGAGCATGGTCACATACTACTTCCACCCCCCACCCCCCCCCCGAATATTCCTGAAATGCTCCGGCATTTTGATAAATAAAAAAAAGTTAGAGGCTAGTGCTTTTTCAGTGCAGCACACCTACTTTTGATTCATTACTATTTTAAAAAATACAAAATATTAAAAAACAAAAACAAAGACAGCACTAGCTCCCAAGAAGTTACCTGGAAACCCTGTCCCCAAGGTGCCACATTGCCCTAGACCAGGAGTCTTCAAACTTGGCAACTTTAAGACTTGTGGGCTTCAACTCCCAGAATTCCCCACCCACCCACCTGGGGAATTCTGGGAGTTGAAGTCCACAAGCCTTAAAGTTGCCAAAAGACATATTTAATTATTCACGTATTAACTGCAGCTAGAATAGTATTTGCTCAAAACTGGAAAAGTGAAAAAAAATCTGATAGAAGAGAATGTGATCAGGAAAATATTAGATTGTGCAGAAATGAACAGATTAACACTGGCAATTAAAGAAAAAGAACTGAATATTCTATGATATAGGAATTATTTTATCAATGGAAAATAAAAACGGAAGTTAGAAATTAAATATATGAATATAGAGTGGAAGGCGTTAAGAAGATGGTTATATTGATAAGACATGTATAGTAGTTTGAAATAATAATGTAGTTATTGTTAGGGTAAGGAATTTGTAGCAATTAGAAATGTTATTGCACAAGATATTTGTACCCAGATGACACACTGTTTAAATGAAAGATGGACTGTTTGTAAAAATAAAATTTAAAATTTAAAAAAAGTCTTCAAGTTGCCAAGTTTGGAGATCCCTGTCCTAGACCTAAGAACAAACCCTGTCAGCTACTCAAGCCTCAGCCCGCCTTTCCACTGCTTATTTTTAAACCCCTTTTTTCAAAGCTGAGCATCCCGTCAAGAAAAGCACCTCCAGGGTCCCGGCGAGATGCGGCGCCGTCACAACGGCCAGACTCCCTGGCCTCGTCGCCCCGCCCTCTTTCCCCCCTCCCCTCCATGCCCCTATCTACCTGCTTGCTTGCCGAACTACAGTTCCCAGGATGCGCCGGTGATTTTCTCTCTCTCTCTCTCTCTCTCTCTCTCTCTCTCTCTCTCTCCCTCCCCCCCAAGCCAGTAAGCTGGGGGAAGAGTTGATGTAATGCGGTGAAGTCACAAAGCCCTCGGGGATGGGGGAAAGGGGAGAGCGAAGGGGGGAGAGGGAGGGAGAGAGATGCAGGATGGTGGCGGCGAGAGCAGGAGCGCCGGCCACGCTACCGCGGCGCTGGGGAGAGGCGTGAGAGGGGGTGTAGATAAATAAAACCCGGCTTCGTTTAGCAACCTCCTTCCCTCCGCCCCCCTCGCAAAGCTTCGAAGCAGCGGCAGGTCTCTGGGCGAGGCAGCCGAAGCGCCGGGGCTGCGGCCTCTCCTCATTCTTTTCGCCCCGGTCTGGAGCCTGGAGGTCTTGAAGAGCCGGGGATGCCTCGGCCGCGCCGCCGCTTTCTCCTCTGACCGGGCTTCGGCTCCCTTCTTTCGGCCCATGCCTCCCCCACTGCTAAAATAACCGCCCGCCCCCCACTCCTCCTCCTCCTCCCAAAGGTGTATATATATATATATATATATATATTACATTTTTATTTTTATTTCATTTTTTAAAACCCTCCCCGAGGTGGGAAGGAGGGTATCCGCCGTCGCTCCCTCGCCTCAAACCCAGCCGCGCACCGCCGAATCCGCCCCGCTTGCCCGTCGAGATGGCGGACCCCGCCGAATGCAGCATCAAAGTGATGTGCCGGTTCCGACCGCTCAACGAGGCGGAGATCCTGCGCGGGGACAAATTCATCCCGAAATTTAAAGGCGAGGACACGATCGTCGTCGGGGTAAGTCTTCTCCCCCCGCCCCCCCGGGTTGGGTGTTTTTTTAGGCAGCCGAGGAGAGTTGCGCCTTGGCTTTTAGTTTTTTTTACCCTTCGCTCGGCCCCGAACTCTTTTTTCTTTCGGGAACGCAGCGGGGGCGGTTTGGACCTGACCAATTTCTGTCCCCCGCCTCAATCCCTTTAGTCTTACTCCAGGCCCCTCTGAATGGCGAGCCGCTGCACCGCATTGTACTCCTTCCTCCGTCCATTGTTCCCAACATTAGCTTGCTCTAGTGTGTGTGTGTGTGCGCGCGCGCGCGCGTGTGTATGTGTATATGTCGGTTAGAAGTTCTCCAAGGCTCCTTTCACCTTGAGCGCCAAATTTGGCTAAGAGAAGGATTGGGAAATGGAGATTTGGGCAGGGGGGGGGAAAGGGAAATTCTCTGCACTGCCTGCTTCTCTTCCCCCAACCCTTCCAAAACTTGGAAATTGGGTTAAACTCAGAAAGGACAACAACTCCTCTTTTTCCAGAGCAGGAACGAAAAGCTTTGGATAAGAAGAGGTATATATATATGGCAGGTGGTCTCAAACCAAACAAATCAGTTTGTCAGTGTAGTGTGAAACCACGTAGGAGTTTCAATGGGAAATCACTTAGGTGTTTCGGAGGGGTGCAAAGTTTCCTTGTTTTGGTGCGAGCATGGATCTAGAGACACAGAGTCGTGTGGTGGGAAGAACCATCTTTTATTGTGGCTCAAGTATTGTAGTCTAGCAACCATAGTGGGAGACTCACAAAGTGTTCTCAGTTGACAGAGATGGATATCAGCGGGGGAGGGAGGGAATGTGTCGCATGAAATGCATGTTTTTAATGTTAATTTCCTTGGCGTATTTTATTGAATTGTTTGATATTTCAGTAAAGGCCAGAATGAGCTCCACTGAAGTCTACCAGGCATATTTATACATATAACACAGCTTAGATTGCATTGGTAAGACAGCAGGGTGAAGGCTAATGTATGGGCAAAAGTGTATTCTATACCGGCCTGATTTGGATGGCTTCTGCAGAGGGGAATCTTCCTTGAAAGGTGCTCCAGAGTTGAATTTCCTGCTTTCCATAACTGCAGCAAAAGCAATGGTGGGGAACTGAATGGAGTCAGCCTGGTTTGACTCTTTCATCTGCCTTCCCTCATTGCTACTGCAGTCTTCCAATCCTGAGCATTGATCAAGCTGATGTCATCTGGATCACTGGGCATGCTCATTTACTTGCACCCTGACGTATTTGATGGATTGGCAGGTGGCGAGAAATTGCTAAGCAAATTAGAAGAGGGTAGAATAATTCCCTCCTTCTCACCTTCATATCCACCCTTCTGCCATTTCAGCTTGATCTGGTGGCTTGTGTTGGATCAGCACTAACTTCGGTTAAAAGCCTGCCAAGCTGCAGTCTCTGCAGATAAAAGCAGGACAGTCTTTAGTGACAGTCTTTAGCTGTCTGCTGTGTTCATTTCTTTATCTTGCAGTGCAATTGGTGGAGAATCGCCTTCTCTTAAGAAAAGTTTCTTTTATCAGCTCACATAATTTGAATTAACACCAGCCTTGGCTAAAAGTGTTCATTTGTCTGAAATATGCTGGAGGAACGTAATTTTGATTTGTTAGAATTGGCTCCCAATAAATGGGTTCTTTGCTTAATCTGCTACTGCAAATTAATTATTATTATTAATTAATAATAATAAATAAAATTAATAACTATAAGTTCCCCCTCATGTAATGGAAATGGCTTAGTAATGGAAAGACTACTTTTTGGAAACTTGTTTGTTTTCTTGGTAATGCATAAATGATATGTGCATAAGAAAATGATTGCTCTCTTATTGTATTGCAATTTATGCTAGGGAATCCTTGTATTGGTTTCACAACTTCATTTTAACCTGGATGCAGATTGCTTCTTTTTTTGAGTTGCTAGTAATTTAAAATTTGAAGCCAATATTTAACCTCTCATTGCAAAGGAACTCTGTAGACTTACAATAAACCACAGTGGTGCTTATTTACTTTTGTTTATTATTAAATTTATTTGCCATCCACCTCACAGTGGGGCTACTTTGGTCAAAATTATGAGGAATGGTTTTAAAATGTGCATTCAGAGGCATCAAAAGTATTAGGTGTGAAAAGTAAGTGCTGTGCCTATCACAGAGTTTTGTAATGCTTGGTGCAAACACTTATTCAAAAAACCAGGGCCGATTGAAAGGAAAGGAAAAAAAATGTTCTTATCTCCCAAAGTAGGATCTGGAGATATTCACTACAGCTATAAATTTGAGGTGACTTCAGACTAACTGTAGCATTTTTTAATACAAAATATAATTAAACTGACTTCACATGTCATCACAGCTGCCAGTTTAGACTGTTTTAACAAGGAACTAAAGAAATGAATGGAAGATAAATTTACCTGTCACTGGTAATTTTGATAGCTTACATGCCTTAAATTACAGTTGCTAGAACATCTGTAAAGGAGGATTTATGACTTTTTCATCCATTCATGAGCCCCTGAGACTGAGCTAGCTTGCTTCTCAGGTTGGGTCTTGACCCAACCCATCTCTCACTTCATGCACTCTTAATCTCTCACTGCCTAGCACTAGACAACCCAAGGTTGGTACATATAAATGGTCTGTTGGATAGTCCTACTGAGGCATAGGTGCCATCAGTCATGAATAATGTGTGCAATAAAGTTTTTTTTTTTGCCAATAGAAGATAATATTTGTAGCTCAGACTTGAAATGAGGGGTCCTTGGTGCTCTGTGAACTTGGTTGTTTTGTTGAAGTTGGTTGTCTTGTTGAATGGGTGATGATACCTAGTTTGGATAATAAAATGTCTGCAAGAAAACAACCAAGCTCAGAGAGCACCAAAGACCCCCTCAAAGCATTTTTCCTTAACCTTATGATGTGGAAACCTACTGTAATTCCTATCCCATTGAGGGGCTTCTTTTAAACCATGTATCCAATTCAGGTGTGGTTTGTGTTACTCTCAAGCTGGAGTTTGTTATTTTATATTCTGGATAGCTAATAAAAAGGTTGATTTCTATTCTTAGTCTACAAGCATTCATTCATCTCAACCAGTATAAACATTTTTAGTAACCGTTCACCCCCTTTTAGTTTACAACTAATGATACTTTCATCCCATCTGTTATCTACAGACAAATACATAACACACAATCTTTTCAGTCCTACTGTCAGCAGAAAGTCCATTAAGGGTTACCAGAAATAAAACCATATTTTAACCTTGATCAAATAAATCAACTTTATAATCCTTTTTACTTCTTAACAGTTTTAATCTTCAATCTGTTCAAATAGCATCACAGAATTTGATTTCATTTCTTTTGTCCTTTCTCACAAGATTCTACAAAGAGCCTCTTTTGTCAATTCAATATATTAAAAAAATTAGGCCAATCTCTTATGTACTATTCATAGAATAAAACATCACTATTCATATTGTTGATACTAAGTTCTAATTTCATTTTTCAAAAGCATCATTCATACACACATATACACACTAAAGAGTTTAGTTAAAGGAGAAAAAATATACAACAGCTAATTAACTTTTATATCTATTTCTCCTTTAACTAAACTCTTTAGTTCCTTCTACTGACTAATGTCCAAATAAATATTTTTCCCATGGGAAGGATTCTTTATGATTAATTCCAAAATTTTATTCTTAATTTACCTGGATGCTTGGTCCATTTGTAAACTTCCTAGGTTCAAAATGTTATTTAGCTTTTTGCTCTTTAGTTAATTTTTTCTTCATCATTACAATTTTCTTTCATTTTAAGGATTGAAGTAAAATTCATCCATTTTTAGACTCTGAATGTTTGGCCAAAGCCCTGTAATAGCTTAAAAGTAGTTAACAAGCATTTTACAAATGTAATTCGTAGTTTCTGAACAGTGTCCATTAGAAAGTGCCAACCACAGAAAGATGGCTATCCCCATCTCCCAGTGCTTGAAACCTGCTCGGGATTGCTGTCTTGCAGTTTCCTTGTAAAGAGCATCTGTTTGGAGTGCATGTGGGTGATCTCCCATCCTCTCCTTATCCAAAGTGGTTCAAAAGAACTATTGTCATCTCTGCTTTTCACGGAGCTGATTTCAGTCCTCATTTTACTTCTGTTAGGTCCAACCTCTGGGGGATAAAAGAATGTTTTTATTCCTCTTCATGGAGTAGATAATAAGGTTTGGATTTTCCTTTGCATTGTTTGTTTTAGCCACCTTCCCACTTCTAGCTTTACAAGCAAGCTTGTCATGCTGTATTTAGGAACATGCCACTTATATTTGGTTCCTTTTTCTGACCCAGTTATCATCCCTGCTTCTTTATCTAACATTCATTGCTGTCTCTTCTTTCTTTGGCATTAACTTTCACTTGCAGCTTCTTCAATTTAAGATGTAATTATCCTCTTGCCTCTTAATCTATTTCCTGTTTATGTGTAATTACCGTATATTTTTTCCTATTAAAGTTGTACAATTAGTTTGAATTCTGGTTACATCAGAGATGGTTCTTTTTCATACTATCATTTTGTGGGGATATGTGTGTTGGGATGAATTAGGTACAGGTTAAAATTTTCTGGTCAGTTCCAGTAAATTGTCTATTTAAAAAAAAAAGATTGTTTCAATTGTTAAGGGAAAGTAAATTGCCTGTGGTTATTTGAACCATCTTGGGTTGAGGCTTTATTTTATTTATGTTCTGTTAATAAATACTCACTGGAATACTTGCTGAAATAGTCTATAAACTGTCTAGGACAAAAACAAGATCTAGAAAGTTTCTTCAATACTGACCTAAACAGTAAATATGTCAAATTATTCCATGCTTAGCAGCAGCAATAACACAGAGATAGATCCTTATAATATTTACCTTCTATTAATGATTGTTAGATTCTAAGATTCTATGCTAATAAGCCATGAATGAAATAAGCTTGCAAAGATTGCTCGTTTTCTTTTTTACTCAAGTTTGTGAGTAACGGATCAACTGCCTTATTAGAAACAGCTTACATTGTACATA